TGCGTATTTTAAATATAGTATATATTAACTTCATTGCCAAATTCGAGAAAGGTATGTACATTATGTTATTCTATAATAATAGGGACTCAGACCAGCAAACGTATAGCTTCTCTTTAAATTAATATACGACATGACATGCTTCTTCATTATCTGAACTTTTTATGGTAACTTACTGATATTTTATGGGCTACATAGATTACCAATGCATCAGCAAATGAAATTGTTGAAGAAAAACTCTTTACAACTCCATCATCTAATTCAGAGATGGTAAGGGTTATTCTACAATCAATCCCTTCATTGATGTAATATACACTGATTTTTTTCCCCCAGTTAAGCAAGTAGCATTGTGGAAGCGGAAATGTCTTTAACGGTAATGATTTTGTTTTATGGATAGGAGTTGTTAAGAGCCTCTAATGCACGACCGGTTATTAAAGTTGACACTATTAGTAGACGTATTAAATCAGATTTAAGATACCAACAAATTGTAAAAGGAAAAAAAATCAATTTATATTTATTAAGTATGCATCATCTTCAAAAACAATCATCTTTCTCATACGAAACCTCTTTCATAGAAAATTGCAAAAAGAATAAAATTGAAATACAGCAATTGACTGTTAATCTTTTTATCTAATGTGATTGATTTAGAAAAGAGACTGTCATCTTTTTTGAGAAGGTGACTTATATAGAGATCCTAAGGGAGTGCAGAATCTAGCAGGTTAAGAAATAAAGAGATGACCTTGTGCTTCCTGAATCCTCGTATGGGCTGAATTTATGATAAGAAGACATAACTTTCAGCCGCTTTTTTCATCTTGATGTTCATTTGGGATAATTTGGTGTTGTACAGAATCTTAAGGCAACTTTTAGAGAAGGTCCTTCACTAGAGAAATATGACAAAGCAAGTTCTTCAAATTATTCAAAACCAAAAATTGGAAAACCTTCTACATTAGATACTTCTAAGGTAAGCTTGCTGCATTCAAAATTTTAGCTTTAAATTCATGTCTTGTTTACTCATTCCTTTGCTTAGGAGTTATGCGGGAGGGAAATGGGTGATCAGCAAGCACTTAAAGAAAGTAGAAGTTCCAACAAAGCTCCTCAACAAATTCAAGAACCTACCAATGAATGTTCTTCCAAAGAAACATCAAACAAAATGGCATTATGGATTCCACCATTTGTTACTGGAATGACCTCTCCACCGGTAAATATTCAGTTTTAACATATTTGCACTATTGATACATTAGTGATTTCCATTCAGATTAACTTTGCTATTCCTATGCTCTTAGATCTCTTCAATCTCTTCTCCCAAAAAGCCTCAAGTGGCAGCTTCAACTACTCACATAGAAACAGAATCAGGGAGCTCTGCTGTTACTGATCAATCTGCACAAGTAAGTCTTCATTGTATTGCATCAGTTTTGGGATCTAATTTTATTCTTTAAAACTGGCATATACTAATGCTATAATAGTACAATTTGATCATCAACTGGTACCCATGTAATCTGTATATGATACTTTGCAAATTAACGCTTCATTTCGTTTGCTTCAGGGCCAAATTATGTTAAGTAAAAAAGAGACCTCCATTGATGATGATCTTATTAGATTACTTCGAATAATGAAGGATGCTTCCGACTTGGAAGTTGGCCTGCCTTCTATTTCCAAACTTGCTGCTCTCGAAGATGGCAAGGTGGCTAAGGCCTTTCTTGATATAGAATCCTCATTGAAAATGGATCTCCATCAGATAGCTAATTCAGAAGAACACACTGATCGCCTTGAGAATGCACTCAAGTTCTTGTCCACCCATTTTTCTGAAGAAGAACCTTCCTCTCACGGCCTTATTAGAGGCAAAATAGACTCTCTTCATCAAGAAATCCAAAGAATTCTCTCGTCCTTCAAGCAAGCTGCTGATAACCTTGACTTATTCACCAAGCTTCAAGAAAAAGAGAAGCGGATCGATGAAGAACATTCTCAAAGGATGGATACAGCTACTATGCTTGTGTCTGAAATTCATAATACTGAGGATTATATGATTGAATTGAAGGAGCAGATCACCAGACTGCAAGCTGAATTGAAAAGCAAAGAGAAAGAATTTGAAGACTGTGAAATCAAACTGTCATCTCTGCAAAGGAGAAAGAAGGAATATGTTTTGGACACCATAGGGTTCATGGATGAGTACGAGGCTGTGAAGAAAGACAAATCCTATATGGTGGATGGCCAAACAAAAGCAAGCCAAGAACTCAAAAAGGTGAAAAATCAATGGCCTTCTTGTGTGGCTGAATTGAGGAAAACTGCACTTTTGTTGGGAATCCTTCTTCAACAAAAGCTCTGATAGTTGGATATTGTCATGTGTAGCCAAATTACTATTCGGGTTGTCATATGTATTCCTATGATTTTGACTTAGTTCAAGGTATAGGTTGGTTTAGTCCTTGATAAAGACTTGTTAATTGATATGGAACTAGTTTCCATACTTATTGTAATAATAAGTATCATAACACTCATTTACAGTTAACTGGAACTTAAATGGTTTGAAGTTTGAGAACCTAAGTTGTTATGGATATTTTGAGTACTGTATTGGGCGATATTATTCATATTATTGAAAGCAAAGTGTTTACATTATTTCTCCATTGTAACGTTTTGAAGGGGAAAAGCCACCTATTAAGCTTTACTGTGCAGCAACGAGATATTTCCTCTCTTTACACAAGAGACTTCTTCATTTGCAGCAAATTGTTACATTTTCTTCATTAAATCAGGTGGTGAATTTTCGAAGAATTAAAAATCGTATAAACATAAGGAGGACCTTCATTATTTGATTGTAGTCATAAATGTCAGCAAATAACTCTAGTTCAACTTGTAGGTTTGGGCAGAGAGAGACTATAGAGTTTGGGATGGAGTTTAGCAGAACCTATTTCTCTATGTGATATAATACATGCACCACAGATATTTGCACCGGTAATATTTTAGATTAAAAAGGTGACATTTAATTCAAATCACACACATTACACCAGTGAACATATATACCACCTGCTTTCTGGAGAGACACACTGGTTCTTATTCATGGATGAAATGTTTTGTTTAATACTTTAATTTATGATTTTAAAAATCTAACTTGGATAGCATCAATGTAATTGGTGAACCATTTTCCTAGTTAATTCAATCAAGAATTTTGGACCAATTAGCTAAATTAGATTTTCACTTATCTTGAAACGATGTCGTTTTGAGTGAAAAAGGCAAAAAAAGCTATTCTCTTTGATCCTTATTGGGGGCATTTCTAATTAACTCTCACATGTTAAAGAATGGTAGTTAAGTCATTAAATTTATTCTAAATTAATAATTTTTTTAAGTTTACCCTTGAAAGACGATGTTCAAAGAGGTTATTTGGAAAAAAACTAAACCCCAATTAATAATAAGGATAAAATGAAAAAAGAACAGTAATTAATGAGTGAATCAATGACTTATATTTAGGATCAAAAATTGCTTGTAATAGATGTATTACAATAGAGTAAAATTTTTTAACCTCCCTTACATTTTATCTTAATTACACAGATTTTCTTCTATTTTGAAAATATATACTTATATCCAAACTGTTAATTCTGTTAAAAATACTTTTAAAAGATGTTTTTTAATTAAAATTTATACTAAAATACTTTTTGCTTACTAATTTACCCCTCATAATACTAAATTCCTAAATTTTGACTACAAAACTATTTAAAAGAATTTAATATTTTTTCTTTATTTAACTTAATTTTATTTTATATTTTTACAAATTGTTGTTTGTTTAATATTTTTATCATATTGAGCAAAAAAATTAAATAATTTAGTTAATGTAAACATAAAAAAATTAAAAGAAATTTGATTAATTCTTTAGATAAGCATATTAGCGATCAAATTAAATAAGTTATAAATGTTTGGAAGAATTTTTTTTTAAAAAAATTAAATTATAAATTTACATAATTTAAATAATATTTCAAACTCATATAATTTATTATTTGATAAAAAATAATAATTTAAAATATTTTCTAGCCATTTGAAAAAAAAACTTAAGTTTCAATATTTTATGAAGAATTAAAATTATATATTCCATAATATGATCAAAATTAATAAATTTTATAACATATTAAAAAGTTTTAAAACACGTGTATTATAATTATTTTTGTTGTATCAAAAATTATTTTTTATAAATATAAATGTTTAAATAACGTTGATATTTTTTTCAAATTAGAAGTTTGAAAATCAAATAAATGGATGAATAGAAATAAAATTTCAAAAATATGAAAAAGATTCATATAACATACATTTTAATTTTAAAAAAAAATTATATATATTTTTAAAATAAAGGAAAGGTTTCTATAAGTTAGATAAAATAGAGAGATAGTCATTTATTTCACTCATTATAATAAGAACAAAAAGAAGTACTAGTAAGTTGGATTTACAATATTTTGTCTATTTTGCTTTATCATGTGCTTTTTAGAGATTAACTTTAAATTAATATCTTCTTTATTTAAGCATTACTTTTTTTAGGATTATATATAAATATTTTTATATAGTTTAATTAAATTATACTATTATAACTATGATTATGATCAGGTTCTGCTTAGTATAGTTAAGTACAACTACAACATTGACTCTTAATTAAATCACTGCCTCCTTTCTGACCAAAAGAAGAAAAAAAATCACTGCCTCCGCGAGTTGATCCGTGACTAATCCATTTCAGAGGGTGTTTGGATAGAAACCAAACCATGGTTTCAGAAGTGTTTTTACAGTTTGTGAAGTAAATATGTAGAGGAGTTTGTCTCATTTTGCAGAAAAATACTTTTAAAATTATGATTTGGAAGTTGTCAAACATCCCCCTTAGACTTTTAGTCGTTTGGTTTAATTCATCTAAAGCGGCCCATTAAAATCTTTTTATTGCATCCGTTTCCCAAAATTCATCAATATTTGTAACCTCTGCGGCTGCGTAGACCTGACGAGAAAGAGGACCATCCACCATTGCTAATTACGCCATTACGTCAATGGCGCTTTCGATTTCAACTCTGAACCATTTCGCTTCGACACAACTCAAATGCTTTCCTTCCAACTTCACCATTCTCGCCTCCTCCTTCTCCTTTCTTGTTCCTTCTTCTGCCTCTTCTACCTTCTCGCCGAGGAGATTTTCTGCGCTGGCCATTCCCAAACGCTGTCGTTTCCGACGCGTTTCTGCCTCTGCTGCTTCTGGAGATGACGATTCCCGACGGGCTGGTGAACTTTCGTCCCTCTCACCTGAAGTTGTTGTTCTCAATGTTGAGGTATGGGCTGTGCGTTTTTTTCTGGAAGTTTACTTATCTTTTTTTTTTTTTTGGTTGAACTCTTTCCCCCTTATATTTTGTTGCGTCTGTGAGCTAGGGTATGATGTGCGAGGGATGTGCAGATAGTGTGAAAAAGCTTCTGGAGAGTCGAGTAAGTTTATTGGCTTTACTTAAGGCTTGGTTTAAATCGGATTTTTTGTTGTAGGGATATAATTCCGTGAGCATCCATCATTCTAGTGACGACATGACATGTTTTTGTACGGAAATATAGACTAGGTGTGAAAAGGATGGTTCTTGCGGATTCATGTTAATAAGCCTTGAGTGCAGGGGGTGGGAAGAAATTAAGTTAGCATTCATGTTAATATCTTTCCAACCTTATCTTTTTCTGACTAAGATTGAAAAGAGAAAATGTAGCATGGATTATTAACGATATATTTCTTCTTAAAATACATAAGCATGTAAATCTTGTATTTTCGGCTACCTAAGGCTCTGTTCTATGCTTTTTTCTTTTTCAATAATGGACAGCCTCAAGTACATCTGCTAGCGTAAATCTAACAGAAAAACTAGCAACAGTTTGGCCAGCACCTGAAGCAAAAACTGAATCAAATTGGCATAATAAATTAGGAGGTGGACTTGCAGAGCATTTAACAAACTGCGGCTTCAAGTCTAGCCTTCAAGGTAGAGATTCAAGACCATCAGCTTTTTTATCGTGCCATTCAGTTTCCATACAATTTTCACCGTTTCGCCACAGTTGATGCAGTGCTAATATGTTTGATTTATGAAATTTCATGTGAATGTCGAGATAGAATCATGAAGCTTATGATAATACTATTAGCCTGGCACTTATAAATTTAATTTCAATGTATCAAGGAAAGCTGCAAAGTAGACAGCTCTTATATCCTTCTTTATAAACCAGGAATCCTTCCTTGCCCTTATATCCCCATGCCGCTGAAGATAAACAACCCCGGATTCTTTTGCTTTCCGTATAAAAGACAGCTCTCTTTCAAGACTTTGCTCAGCATCAAACACTGGAGGGCTTGACGATGCCGGGTTAACCTCCTCTGATGTGCTTGCATCTACCATGGAGTCGTGTGTATCCTGGAAATCAGCCAAAAGAGGAACACCAAGTGAGTGGACACTCCCATTGGGAGCTACGAGAACCCTTGAGACAGAATTCTCTTCCTCTGCATCTGAATCATCATCCCCATCACTTTCCAGTGATCGCTCTTGAGCCTCTCGACCTATGAACTTCTCCAGGCTCTCTATTAGCAACTGCTCAAAGGCCTGGTGATTTTCTTTGCGAACATCTTTATAACCATATCTGTTGACATGTAAAGAGTTGAGTTGCAAAATAGAAAATAATGAAAATGTGAAATCATTCACTAGATGTCCCACAAATCATTCCTTGCATAAGTTGAAGCGAAGCTATTGCGAGCATTGTTTCTTAAACTAATATAACAACATTGTGCCAATGCATATGATTTTTCTAATGTTAAGCATGTTCTGTATTTTAAATCCCCACTGATCTCATGTAATGCAGATTTACATACCCTGGATACCCAAAGGGGGCAAAAGAAAACTCAATAAAAAATAAAAGAACTACCTGGCAATACAACGAAATATATGGTAGCTTTTAGGGCAGACCCGCCGGAAAATGAACCTTTCACTTTTAGGCACTACAGGAACAGGAACATATTTGATGCATACAAATATAATCATGGAGTGTATTGCTGGAAGCGTAGTCAGGAAATGACCAAGAATTGCTGGAATTCCTTTAACCAACTCGTTATACAGTAAACCTATCCCAGGAGCTCGAATTGTCCCAGGATTGCAACCCAATTCTCGCATTAAATCCGTTGACAGCTTTTGCTTGACTTCAGTTTCATACTTGAGCTCTTCCGTAATTCCATATATACATGATAAGAAACATTATTATGCCAAAGACCAATATTATCCAACTTCCATCTCCCACACTCCACAAAACTGATGAAAAGAAAGGCAATTCCAATCCCAAGAACACTACCACAAAACTCAAAACTATGATGATGTGGATCTGCCATATAAGAAGCATAACAAGGGTTACCAAAATAGTTGTCATCATCATCACCCCGATCTCAGCAATGCCTGAAAAAAGAAATTGGAAAATGCTAAATACGAGAAACATGCACAATTAGAAGATCTACATATTTCTATTATTATCACCATTATTATTATGCCACCATTATTATTATGCCACCAGTAAGGCATTTTCTAAGGCTAGGAGCTAAAGACAGCTAAATTCCCATCCTTCCATTGAGTTAGCAGAAGGAAATTATTAATCTTATTTTAATTCAATTGGGGGAAAACTTAACTGAGAAACAAGGGGACATACAGCTGGACATTCTCCCCAAAGAAAGGACAAAAAAGAGAGCTATCAATGCTAAAAAAATATCAGGCTAGCCAAACCCTCCACCGCATGTGAATGAGTTTACCATTAAAAAAAAAAACAAACAAAGAAGACTATGGGTTCTTAACCTAAGAGAGGCAGTAAAAAGGAACATGTCCCTTATCATATGAGATGACAATGAAATGGCCCTAAGATATGCATTCCTTTTTCTTCCCCCTTTTTTAGATGAAAAGTTCTACAAGAATTCAACAGCAATTTTTGTCCGCATCTATATGGGATAAAAGTGATAACAAACACTTTTCAAGAATTCCATATTTGAAATAAATACAAAAGCTATTTATATTATCAAAATATATAGGATGTGGTTGTTCTGAGCATACAACACTTGAAAAGGAGGGTGAATATGGTTTTTATGCAGTTGAGATCTCTTAAAAAAGGTCCAGAAGTATTATTCTCAACTAGCAGATGACATAAAAGAGGCACAAAAAGAGAAATCCAGAGGTGTGCTTGGATTGAGAAGGAAAGTGAAATTTTAATGTTAATATTTTATTTGATTTTATTTAGATTATAAAGCTAACATTTTTCTTCCATTCTTCTCATTCAAATCTAGCTCCAAGAACATTCAAATTTTAGTGTCAATATTTTATTTGATTTTATGAAACAATGTCAATTAATGAATCCGAACAAAACGAATTAAAGTCTCATTTTTATCGATGACAATTAAATCACCATTGAAAGTATGCTTTTCAAAACTTTTGGTATGGACTATGGCATTAATTAATCAGAAGCAAAAGCGTGAAGATTTTGATCGATATAAAATATAATCATATTTTAATTAGATAATTTAACCCTACTAAATATATTGTTGATGCAGACTATACTTATATCATAATAAATTGTTTAACACTAATTCACACCTACTCTCCTCCTTATCAACCCATCTTCATATATACTATTTTTCAATCATTTTCCTGCCAACTTGCATTTATCTTGTGATCACATATATTCAGTTTGACGAAGGCCTCATGGTTATCTGTTCTCAATATAAAATGGAAAATGATGAGCCCTGTCATATATGCTACTCATCATTTGGTCCTATTTATAAGACAAAGAGAAGAAATATCTTGGTCCTATTTATAGAGTAGAGAGAACAAATTTTCATCTAAATGTATAATTTTGCCCTTTATTTATTGTTCTATTAATTTTGTTCTCATGTAGTATAATATATACTAAATAGAGACAAAATTAAAAAATTGTTGAATTTTAAAGAGATTTAATGAAATTTAAAGTTTTTCTTAGTCTGTGAAACATGCTGGAAGTGAATTACAAATAAGATCAGAAAATTTTGAAACTGTGTATTATTAGCACTAATTAAGTAAACACCAATTTTTTCTTAGAAAAGGTAACCTAAGAATTAGTTGTTGCTACTTATTTATGCCAATACCTCCTCTGCTATTGACCACAATAGCTGTTTTCTGCTTCATCATTCTGTCTGCAATTTCTGTGCTCTTCTTGGCTTCGCGCTTTTGTTTCACTCTTCAATCACCAAAAAGCTTTTGATGTTCTTGTTCTTCCTTTAAAAGGGGGGGAAAAAAAGATTTTACGGGTTTAGCTTCTGTTCCAGAGTTTGTCTATTGAAGGAACCTTTTTTTCAAGCTTATTTTCTTGTATTTTAATTGTTTGTTTACTGTTGATCATCGTGATCGTTGTTTTCTTAGTTCTTATTTAGAAAGAATCCAAAAAAAAAATTGTGTTCAAATCTTCTTTCTCCCTAATAGTGATTATCTCATCGTTCCTTTTCTTAAAAACCAAATCAAAAAGAGGCTTTTATATCAAAAGCATTGCAGTATAGAAATTTCTCGGAGGTAAGGATTTATACTTCATGATACTTATCATGAATTATGTTTACATCTTTTACACACCCCACACATATATGGTCTCTTAAACTTTTTTCCCCCCAACTTGTTTTTATTTCGCAGGTCTTGATTGGCCACGTGAACCATACTTGAAGATTTCGATTCCTATTTGCGGGTTAGTATATGTATAGTTTTAATGGTAAATTTCATTTATTTATAGAACTTTTAGAGTAGCTCTCTTAAATTATAAACCAAAGTGGGTTATTTATATTTACAGAGTATAAAATTAGCTGTATTTTCTGCTATTTGTGAGCGACACGGTTCTCCATATTTTCTATATTTCATATGATTGTTGATATCGCTATGGTCTAGAAAGTGTATGAAAACTATTATGAATAAAGAAGAAATAGTGAAGAATCATACAGAGAAAGAAAGGATCAATAAGAGAGGGTATTTCTCATTCCATTCAAGAGTACTCAATACATTACATATGACCTTTATTTATAGGCACAGCTTTATACCTTTGATAGAATCTACAAATTACATAATAATATGAGACAATTGTGGAATATAAAGATAATAGGAGATATTGGAGATTATATGAGATATAGGAGATAATGAGAGATATATGGACATCCACAAAGATATTATTATATTCATAACGCTCCCCTTTGGATGTCCAATATATATGAATGTGCCTTGTTAAAAAATTTCAACTAGGAAAAACCCGGTGGGAGCAAAACCTAGCGAAAGAAAAAGAATACATCATTCATTGATACACTATGCAATGCTGCCTTATTAAAAACCTTACTAAGAAAACCCAGTGGGACAAAACCATAGATAAGGAAAAAAAGAGTACAACGTGTATCAACTCTCCCTTTTGGTAGCATTAGTTGACATCTTCGAGCCTGTAAAGTCTAATATAACGAACAATCCTTTCAAATATTATAACGAGATAAAAACGTCAAATATGAATTTCATAATCTTTTGAAAATCATGAGACGAATAATCTTTTTATGGTTTATCCACACGTGGATCATACTATGATATCTTAACATGGGGATCAAATAAGAATATTTTATCTATATAGCCATTAAGATTATTCTTGAGTACCTTCAAATAAAAAATAATATTACCTCCACAGTATCCTTAAAGTAACGAAGAATATTTTTAACTTCATTCCTACATCTTCATGTTGATAAAGATCCATATCATGCTAATCAGCAAATGATATCTTAGATTCTGTATGGCTAGATAGATATATAAGTGTTTCAGTGACACTAAGATATAGTACTTTTGGACCAAGTGCTTATTCATTACCTTCTGGAGGTCTAAACTGATCTTTAGTCTATATCTAAAGATCTTGCAACTATCGAAACATATAATGGATGTTGCTTATCCACATAATGCATGTGACTTATTCATATGTATTCTTCCAAAAGCTTTCATTTTAAATTTTTCTTTAAATAATTCGTAGCTTTTGAAAATTCATCAGGAGTTTTGATGCTATCATCATAAATAGTACTAATAACAAACTCATTTTGAATCTTTTCACAAATGGACAAGTTGGAATATGTTTACATCATTCCTTCAGTCGATATTAACTACATATGCCTCATATAGAGACTTAATTGAATAATATTCTTAAGAACATAATTGTATGCTTCTAGAAACTCAAATCCTTCAAAGATTTTCATACATTATGATCTAGATCTATTCATGTATTGGGTCGTTTAAATTTATACAAGGATTTGAATTCTTCTAGATTCACATATAATTTCATTATAAAGTGAGTTATACGTTATAGTTATATATTTCTAAGACGCATATGAAAAAATTTCATTTATTACCAGACTGTCAGATTGATAAGACATGTAACTTAATCCACCACAAGACTTTATTTCTCTTTATATTGTACAAGTGCCTATTTACATAATACTAGTGTTACACTTCAAGTGCATAGGCCAAGGATACACAAATCTCTATTACATTGCGTCTTTTCTTTTCTGTTGGCTAACAATTTTTCTGTCTGTATCTCATGATAGATTTATATATAAGATTCTCATTTGATCACATGATATCATCAATAAAATTATTGTTGACAATTTTATTCCTTTATCGGTCTCCTTTCTTTTATGACATAACATATTGAGATCTCTTTATTACTTTTAGACACTTAAATCTTTTCAAGGGTCAAACAGTTATATTTTAACCTCTTTTGCAATTCATGCCTCCTTAGTATGATCATCATGATCATTTGCTCCTTTTTCTTTTTTTTTTTTTGGAACCGATCATACTCTCATGCTTTTGACATGTCTTAAAAATAGGAGCACTTTTAGCGGGAATATAAGAATTAAGAATTCTCATTTGGGTCAGTAATTGCATCTGGCAGATATTAGTAATGTTTTACGAATGCAATACTTTATGAACTTCTAGTTCATACTACTATATTTGAGAATCTACATTTGATAGTGAAAATGTATTCTGTGTGTTTTCTTTTCCAACTACACATTTTCTCCCTCTCATATTGAGAACATGTAATGTAGGTCTCTTAAATCCATAAATCTCCTTTAGAACATGTAATGTAGGTCTCTTATCCAACAGTGATCCCAACTTACTTTTAATATCCATCTATGTACATTATTGCTATGGAATAATAGATATTGCATATTCTAAAATGAAAAATGTCTGGTTCCTGACTAAAAGCCAATTATAATGGGAGAATTCACAATACATTTGTTAGCCTGATGCATTTATGTGCAAAAATATATAAAATCAATCATCCCACCATTCAAATAGGAATTCTGTTCTCATAAACTCTGATCTAGCTACTCATAGAGGCTTTTAGTAAGCATATAATCATCAGCAATGTGAGGAACAATCACTAACAATCTCAATGAGAATCATATTGATTTCATAATCAAGAACTTATGTACTCAAT